AAATAACTACATAACGTTTTTGAATAACAATTTTGTCATAACTTTGTAACTTGACATTAAGGTTTGTTTCCAAATAATTCACGTTAGACTGTAACACGTGTTCGTCTCTTAGGCTCAAAGCGAGAAGCTGCTGACGTGGAACCTGGCTGTCAGAGACTTTCACATCCTGGTCAACTTAGTTAAGGTACATCATCTGTTACTGTAATTATATGGCTTTAAATGTATCCTAAACATTTCCTGTTTCCAACCGTTAATCAGTTATTCTATGATATGATTATTTTACAATTCATACTGCAAGGCTTAAATCCAAAGAGCCATTTTGTCTGTTTCACCTCATCTTCATAGTCAGATTTACAAATTCATGTATTTAACGTTCAAGTCAAATGTTGTGCTGTCGATTGAGTCTGATGCAAATCTTGACATGTTATTGCAAAGAGTTTGACTTCTGCACTTTGTGTGGTAAATATGCATTGTGACTAGCACCCTCTGCTGGTTAAAACCCAGCTATTGCTATATCTAGACGCAAGTGAAATCGGTTTGAAATGTTCTGTTCAACAATATTCACATATGTGTGTCTAAGTGCGTCCTTCTGCACTTGGACCAAATTTTAGGGATGTACTTTACACACTTTAAGTTCATCTTCTCAACTGTTTGCTCTCTAATCTCTTCTCACTCAGGTCTTTGATTCAAGGCCAGTGCTGAATGTGTGCCTGAAGGTGAGGTGGCTCAGCAGTGAAATATCACATTCACGTGTAGCTGTAGCTGCTGTGATTGACTGATTATTATATTGTTGACAGTATGGCCGCCTTTTCTTGGAGTCTTTCCTGAAGTTGGGAATGCCGCTGCTGGACTACAGTTTCAAAAGGCACAAGGTACACGTGAAACTTTCCCCATAACAGCCGTTAAATGTATCATTGTGAAATGATGTAAAAGAATGGAAGTGTTCTTTAAACGTTGAGGGACCCTGATGATGTTACTTTTGGAACCAAGTTACAACTGCAGGTTAAAATGTCCATTGAACAGACAACTCATGACACTCAGTACTGGCAAACGATTAAATATAGTTTACTAGTGTTATTGATTATTAAGACATGTATACATATATAGTATAGTTGTTTAAAGTGCTCACATTTATACAGCACAGTGCAGTAATCTGTACCCTCTGTCGTACAGACATGGTTTGACACTAAAGCTTTGATAAGTCCAGAAACAACATTCTGAGCTGTGTAAAAACAGGATGCTGATGTGTGTTTGATGCACTGTGTTTAAGGAGGACGTCCAGAGTCTGCTGAAGACCTTCCAGCTCAGCACCAGGCAGCTCCATCACATGTGTGGATACTCTAAGGTGACCACAGATCACACTGTTTCAAACTCATCCCCCCTCTATTTGTTTATTAGTTGGAGATGTCTCTTTTCTTACACTGGTGCCAAATCCATCAATCATGGAGTAAACAATTCTCAGGACCTCATGTGCTCAGTAACTTGTAGCCTTGTCATGATGTGTTGGTGCTCAGATTCACCAGGATACCAGCCTGACCAACCACGTTCCAGCCTTGAAGAAGAGCCTGGAGCTGTTTGTGTACAGGGTGAAGGCCACGCTCACGCTCAACAACTGTCAGGAGGCTTTTTGGATTGGCAATCTGAAGAACCGCAACCTGAAGGTATAACTTTACTGGATGTGTATTAATATGTCTGTGTGCATTTTGTATCATAGAAGTGATTCTATATTGTTTACTGCAGGGTGAAGAGATTCTTTCTCAGAGGTCACAAGGAAGTGATGATGATGATGAAGAGGAGGAGGAGGAGGGGGAGGAACAGTCACTGCTGCCTCAGGAACAGTCAGAGGATGAGGTACCTGCCGTTAAATCAGTTTACCCCAATAAAAATCAGTATCTGTATGGCAGTCATTTCATTCCTGTGTCATTACAGTGAATTTTGGAGAAATGTTGTCAGTAGCAAAGTAAAAATGTTTTAAACATTTTATTTTAACACATACCTATACATAGTAGAACCAGATAAACTTGCTGTGGTCTTTACATATTTCCAGATCTGTATTCAATTTGATACAAGATCACAGATGAGAATTTGTCACTGATACTTGTTTGGATATTATCATAGAAAAGAAATAAGTTTGATTTTGTAACTGGCCTTTTATCACATACAAGGTTGACTTAACAAAGACTTTGATGAAAAAACTAAATTTACATTTCTTCATGTACACTAAATGGACTAACGGACAATTAAAAAAGTTTAAAGATTCTTTCCTGGCCCATGTCAAACAAACAAACGTACAGGGGTGAAAACATCACCTCTTTGCTGGAAGTTAGAACAGATGCAAGTTGTGCTGAAGTCCGGTTAGTTGCTGAAGGTGTTTGCAGGAGCGTGGACAACAATACAAGTTTTATTTAAGGGATAAGCAGCACAGAGTAATAATTCAGTCGATTACACAATCCACCCAAACTGGCTCCTTCCACTGCTGCTGGGTCAGTCAGTACTTTGTAAAGTGTAAAGCAAACAGGTCAGTACGTGGAAAGTGTAGAAAGCAGTGGACTGATAAGATCATTTGTAGAGCTCTTTAAATAGCTAATGATTAGAGGCTGACATGGTTAACAGAGAAACCATTTGATATGGTGACACTGTGTCCTGAACTATTGGAATTTCTGCTTTATTCAAGCTGGGTCACAACTTCAAATCCGCCTGTTTGACAAATGTTTCTCATGTGCTTTCCTCCAGGCCCAAGAGAGCGACTCTGAGGAACGCAAGACGACTAAAGGAGAGGAGATTGTGGAGGAAGAAGATATTACAGACGACTCTGAGTAACACTTTACAGAACGTGTAAATAATAATAACTGTCGATTTTAGATTTTACTCTTTTGCCTTTAGGTCCTTGGTGGATCAGCTTTTGAAGTTTTGAGTTTGTTTTGTTGATTTTTTTCATGAACACTTTTTTGCATACTGCTGCTCATGGGGTAGATGTAGAAATATTGAAAGCAATATATATAAAACAAGTTTCTGTATTCTTAAGTATGTGGCAATAACACTGCAAGCACATTAAATGCATATATGTACCTCCACATGTTTCCTTTTCTGTTGAGGATAAAATGTGCTTAATAATAATGTGTGTTTCCCGTTGGAGGATGAAATAAATATGAACTGTTGAGAGAGTCTTGGTTAGAGTTATCATTCTGGAACTGACCATGTCTCAAATTTATTTAACTCTTAAAGGTAGATCTAATTATTTACCTCAGGTTTTGTGTGTTTTCAACAGGGAGGACCTTTTTTTCATTGTGTTTTGATATAAATAATAATCCAGGCGTGTGATATAAGATGTATAATTACAGGAGCACTGCCTTATTTTGTTTTCAAAACAGGCAAAATGTAGTGAACTGAAAAAAAGAACACAGCACCAGGACTCAACACTGAGATCTTTGTTCTGGCAAATCCCATAAAGAGGGACAGCAGCGATTAGTGTAAGCTCTAAATGAAGGCAAACAGCCTCTTTGATACTCTGAGGTCCTCGGGGCTCATTTGTAAACATGTCCGAGCAGAACTTAGAACAGGATTCAACCTACATTTGAAGCAAGTTTTATGGCAGAGTAAAAATGTTCTATAAATCACATTCCAAAGACACTGTAAAATCTCAAATGTGTGAAATGAAACAGCCCTGTAACAAAAACCAAGAGGAACTGAGTCTTGTATTTGTTGCTCAACTTAAGTAGTTTGCAGAAAACTGATGTTTGTAGATTTAAACACATGTCTTTAAGTGCTTAGGGCATCTCAGTGATTCTGTGACAAATCCTGGGGGATTAAACGATTGGAACGAGTATTGCCTGAGTGTAAGAGGGTTTTTATTGATTATGCATTATGGCATTAAAGCATCATGGTCCACAAGGAACACACACATACACACACGCACGCACATCCTTCACAGGCTCAGTGGGTCACTTTTTATTCAACACAACACCAAGGTAACACAGTTGGTTCTTTTTAGTCCTGTTTAGTGTCTTAGAAGATTCCAGTTTTTAATTTCAGATAACAACATTAATTTATTTATTCAAGGCCATTTTCACCCTGTCAGACAAATTTTTGTTATAACACAGAGTTAAAACAATGCAAGGCAGGTAATACAAAAGAATATGTATATTACAACAATACAAAATCGACTTAACAACACTTTTGGGAGATAAAGATCTCATACCCTTAATAAAGCCTCAATTTCAAATCCAGCCAGTAAATTAAATTGGCAGCAGGACGACCCCTGAGCTGCATCTTTCCCACCACCAAGGACTCATGTACTTGCATGTGATGATGAAAAGACTTTCTTGGGTACTGAAATAAAAATCCACCACAAAACTGCAGTTTAATAAACTAAACCATCAATTCTCACACTGAACAAGACACACGGGGTGAGGTTTAAGAAAGAAAGAACGGAAGAGAACAGCAGGTGTTAAACATGTTCAGCTGCTAAGATGTGTTGAAATTAAAAGAAAATTGAGACTGTCAAGTGAAAATGGGTTAAAGAGGAAAAATGAAAACTTATCTTAGCTCAACTATTTTTTTTAATTAAGCACTTTATTTTTAGATGCACATATTTAAAAAGCTTTCTGTCTATTTTATTTTTATCTAACAGGAGAAAGGAGCTTTTTTTCTGATTGGACAATCCCTCCAGTTCAATGTCAAAACTTGTTCAAATATTATTGCATTGCACTTTCTGTGATTGGACAGTAGTTGACAACACACAGATGCTGACACATCTAGTATTTAATACACCTTGCACTGAATCATTGATTCTCTATCTGGGCCTTTCAGAAATGTAATTCAATTCAGACTGTTTTCTTTTGTCCTTATTTCTTTTAATGCTTTATTGAAAAAAACAGTGAAATGTACAAACTCAGCTCAAAGTAACAGTGTTGCTAAATTGAGGATGTATGTACATAAATAAATAATAAAAGCAAATAAAGATTAAAAAACAGAAATTTCTCCAGCTCAGTTTATTTCCCTGCGCAGCCACCTGGGTTGAACCATAGCCAGGAGACGCAGGGGTGTCTCGGCCGAAAACGCGAATATAATAACCACCAGTTACAGTTTACATGAATAAAAACAAGTGGTGCGTATTTAATAAACTCTATAAAATATGTGTTGATGTTATCACTCTGTTATTAACATACGTGATGCAGTGGTTTACAAAATCTTTTATTCCGGCCCCCCCCTCCTCTGCGGATGGGAATGGTCCATCCAGGAAGCATGTCCCAGTGTTTGGTAAAATACCAACAACAAACTGTCGCTTCTCTGCAGCGACTCGTTCCTCTTCTCCTCCACTGTCGCGACTGTGTTCACGTCATTTCGCGTCGTTATCTTGTCTCACGTTGTGTCCGTGTTGTGGTGAGAAGCTACCGGAGCTGCGGTGTGTGTCTGCGTGTGACCCGGAGCAGGACGTGTAGCTCCGGCTGCTTGTTTCTCCCTCTTGTTGTTTTTGTTTCGTGCGGACCAGCCTCCACTGAGCAGCCGACATGTCGGATCTGATCCTGCTGCTGCTGATGGTGGCTCTCCTCGTGTGTCTGCTGGTGACGGTGGGGGGCTTCCTGCTCTACTCGGGGCTCCTGTCAGACGTGCTCATAAAGACCGGGCCCCCTCCCATCAGGAACGTGACCATCGCCTACAAGTTCAAGGAGGGGTCGTACAAAGACTGCGGGGCTGCCTTCACGGAGAGCTGCAGCATCGGACCCAAGCTCAGCTCCATCGGTGTCTTCTACGATGACCCCAAACAGGTGAGGGACACCCCCCCCCCCCCCCCCCCCCCCCCCCCCCCCCCCCCCCCCCCCCCCCCCCCAGCCCAGCACCTGAGTCTCACCCCTGAGTCTGTGTTGACCCCATGACGTAACCACAACCCCCTCCCATGTACTTTGTCTCCTGATAGGGTTTTTACTGTCAGTCAGAAGTTTGACCTGCAGAGAGTGTGAGAGGTCACTCAGCCACTGATACTGTGCACAGCTCAAAATGACCAAAATCACCTCTGAGCAATTTAGTGTTTTCCTAAACTTTAACGAATTCCTGCTTAACTGTGGAAAACTTCTGCACACTGATCGATTCATGGGAATAATGATTTCCATGAATTGAACACAACAATAATGAATCCTGTTTGCATAACCAGAAAGTAGGGCTGGGTGATGTGGCCAGAGATAGACAAAACATTCAGATCAGCTGATAACGATGATGATCTTGATAAAAGTCACAGTATTATTTCTTAAAGACTCATTTTCGAGTGATGGCTGTCATTTTAAACTCTTCTTCAGGAGAAGAGAATGTAAAAGATAATTTATACTGTTTTATTGCCCTGCCCACTAAGAAACAGCAGATTTTTGGCACATTTGCATTAAAAATAACAATTCATCATCAACATTGTTGCTTGTTAGTTTTCTGACCGTCTACATCTAAACAATGTTTCCAGTTTCAGTTATGTAGTGATTTCTTATCATGTGTCTTCAAAATAACGGCACTGTCTGAGAAGGGCAGTGAGATCTGAGAGTGTAATGTCATGTACAAGTTAATGTAACTCAGTTACATATGGCTCAAGGGGTTAAACAGACAAGCTTCCTTTTTAAAGGAATCAAGCCTGAACGATGGAACCAGTCAGCTGTTCTGTGCCACGTTGCACTGTTGATATTTTTTTTCCGTCTCATCTGTGAGTCCCGGGAGCCTCAGCCTGTGTTTGTCTCTGACTCAGACATGGCAACCAGACTCCAAAGCAGAAGGGCAAACACATGCTTCTTGGAAGGTACCTGAGAAAGGCTGACAGATGTATGAGAATGTAGAGTTTTTGGTAAAGTTGAAAATCCAAACTCTTGACACTATGACCTCTTTGTCATTCTGATCCTAACGTGAAACCAAACTAGGTCATTCCTCGGCAGAGGTCTGCGGTTATCTCCTGCTTTTACTTCACATACCCCTGTTCATCACGAGTTGTGTTTTTAGTCAATAAGAGAAGCCTGCACAGCAGCTGCTTGTTAGATGGGAATGTGTATTGAGTTTCCATCTGATACAGGTTAAGAATACACGGATGCACAAAGTGCAATATGATACAGTTATACAACCTAATACAGTATAATGTATTTATATCATGTTCCATGACTCATCATCTAAACTACCTGTACTTCCCCTTTGTTCTTTGCTTGACTTACATTGTGTCAGAACTGCTGACATCTGAATTCTGAGTTTGTCATGGTACGGTGACTTAAAACCATCTAACAAACATAGTGGCCAAATAGAGGCTTTTGGCACATCAACCAATTTTGCACAGTAACCACATCAACAAGATCCCAGTCATTCTGTCAGGCCAAACCATAACGTTATTATCTTCTGTGGAGTAAAGATTGTTGCACACAGGCAGCACTTATTCTTTCTGCTTACATCTGCTGCTTTCTTTTAGCACACTGTCCCTTTGGTAAGTTAAGGCTTTTAGTGGAAACCTTGACTGGGAGTTACACCAGTGGAAAGTTGCAGCTGGCGTCTATTGAGGAGCTTTTTAAAACTTTTCTGCTTGTATAAGGGTTTGTGGAGAGTCTGGATCATAATGAGCCATTACAGGATGACCAGATGTCTCTGTAACCACCAGTCCAAAGAGGTTTTTATATAGAGTCGATGACTCTCCTGGGATCTGTGTCTCTACTTAGATATAATCTGAAGATGTATGGACCTCTGACTTCCTTGTTGGCAAACACAGAAAAGGATTAAGCAAAAAGTATGATTGATAATGATTAACATAACAGATTTAAAGTTCAGGAGCTTATACAGCAAATTCTGTATTGACCTTTGACCTACAGAAATGGACAGGGTTTGAAAAACTTTGCTCACTGATGAAATCAAACATTTGTAGATGTAATATGAAATGTTTTGGGTGAAAATATAATTTAGTTATCCTTAAATTGTTTCTGGCCCTTTATATCTGAAGCAGCTGTTTTTCAGTGTTTGCTTTGGGACATTAGAATTAGTTTACCTTCTTTAGTTTACTAAAGCCAGGAGTCTGATTACTCATCTGCAACCTTGAAAGTAAACTCTGAGAGAACTTTGGATGAGATAGAAGTTCTAGTTAACAGTGACGCTTGTCTTTATTTCTCACTGAACTCTGATAATGCAGAGAGTAAAGTTGAGTAAAAGTTGTTGTTCACATTGTTCTCCCTGAGAGGGTTTTTAATGGGCTTAGGATGCTTACTTTTTTTTCAACTTGCCATTATTTGTAGTGGAGTTTGCAACTAGTTGTGTTTAGACTTGACCACAGAACTTAAAATGCCCCCTGCATCTGGTATATCCAGCAGTTCACTTTTTCAATGTGTTAAGTTGTCAAAAAGTTATGCATGTAACAATGACACAAACTGGTCCTATCAGGAGCTGAGGTGGAAGCACACATTTTTCTTTGTGTAGTTGTTACAAACCTGAATGAGGGGAGCAACAACTGCCAGTGAGGGGAAAAGTCAAAAGAAGCCATTTATTGTTCAATGGATCATAATTGACAAAACAAACACATCAGGTTAGACGAAGAACAAATGAAGGGCTGCGGGAGGCAACAAATCATGAATCCACTGTAGATGGACTCATGCAGAAACACACCATCATGGTATCACAACCTTAATGGCACAAAGAAAACACTTTGCCTAACTTCTCTAAGAAGTTGGACTGAACAAAAAAATTATATTTGGATTACCATCCATACAATTTACAACTAGACAACCAAGCTAACATTTCTTTAAAGATTTATATTTCAATTTCCATGTGTAGCAGAGCTGTTTCATGTAACTAAAAGGTTTTGAAATTGGGAGGTGGACCAGGGGGGCTACAAACTGGAAAACCGAAGTGTTAAAATATTGCAACAGTAACAAAAAGAGATAAATAATTTGTTGGATTTTGTTCAGAGGTGGTTCAGATACAGTAGTTTCGACATTTTTTATGCAGAGTCAGAGACCAATAAATATCCCAGAACAGGCCTTGTATTGCTGGAGTTTATTTAGTGTAATCACAGGTTATGTCAAACAGCAGTATCATCGAAGCAAGTAAACTCAGGTGGTGTGAGGTTGTGTCTTTTCCTCTTTCCTTTGTCTGAGGGGAGGCTCATCGTCTCAGCCTTTGCAACACCCAGATGTAATTGTCCAGCTGATTCTATCTCACATGCATGAAGGAGACCACAGCCTGGTTTACACTCACAGCATTACATTACTGGCCACTGTGAATACAACCTTATTGATATTAGGAGCTTCACAAAGACAAAAAGAATACAAAACATTAAAGACAAGCATCAATTTTATACAGTGATATGATATAAATGATATAATACAAAATCTTAAAAACAGAAGATAAAATAATTCCCAAAAAAAAAGAAAAGGTAATTGTATACTAAAAAAAACCCTGTTCAAGTGAAAACCATTTGGTAAAAGTACATTTTGAGGGATGATTTAATCTGACTCAGGTAAACTACTACATACTTTATTTTAGTTGACTGCATGTGTACATCTGAAAATATTGTAATAAATATACTTATTCTCTGCTAACTGCCAATGTCCTCTGTAAGATTTACACTGATGGCCACTAGATGGCAGTATTAGCATTGAAGCTGAGTTTGTGTGGGAGGCAGAAGCCTCCTCGAAACCTAATTGATCTTAAAAAAAACAACTTAATTTAAGCAGTGCGACTCAGCCTCGCATCATTCAAGCAGTAACAAAAACTAGTTTCATCACATTAAAGTTAACCTGGATTCCAAACCTGTGTTAATTGGTCACTGTCTTTCCTGCGTCTCTCGCTCCTGCCTCTGGAGCCACAGTATTTCCAACAAGCAGTCATTTGCATTCAACCTGCATTGGAGTTGTAACATAGTCCCTGTTTAATGACTGTGATAAAAGCAAGCACGACTCTGTCTCCTGAGCACCAAGATTCAAAACTTCCACCTACTGATCAGAGAGCAGACTTGTGTTACAGCAGCTAAATCTGTTGTATTTCCTTCAGTCAGACAGCTGTGACCTGTTATCAGGTTCTTGGTCTGCTCTATATGTAAGATTGATGAGGTGACTGCTCCCCATAAGTGATGCCAAAGCATCTCAATCGCCACCTGGTGGCTGGCTGCAGTATAGTCATAAATCCCAACTCCTCCGTGTCAATGGATGGGACATGGACCAAATTAAGTAAACCTCAAAGATGGTTTCTGACGTTTTTGGTGGTTCTCATCACACTGATGTATTTTCTGATGGGTAATTTTCCTGCCAAGTTTTGTTTTAATTGTGATTTGATGCAATAAAAAGACGGGTAGAGACGTCATGATTGACAGCTGAGACTGACTCTTGACTGGTCAAGTGCGTGTATCGATGGAACTTTGCTACCATGTCTCCACCCCCTCATTGCTTTTGTGCAGACTCAAGCTTGTGATGTTCAAAATGGCAGTGTTCATCTGCAGAATATTTAAATGCTGGATAGAAGGAGAAGGTAGAGATGAGTCAGCCATCTTTATGTACCACCTATGGTCTGCACTGATAAATGCCTCACCTCACTCTGCTGATGAGACATTGAAGACAACACTTTAGTAAACAATGAGCGCTAAATCTGGTTGCTCTTCTTGACGCCTCTTCCTTATTCATGTCCATTCATGCATGAGTGTGCTTGCAAGTACACTCACAATAGCCAGAAGTAATTATCACTATCGCCTCAGGGATTGGACAGTTTAGCAGCTTTTTTTCCTCACAAGCATCAGTCCACTGGACAGTGACCCACAACAGATTGGAGGTTAAAC